TCCCAGAAGACTGCCATGGGGGCATGGAGGCTCAGTGTTGCCTGATCCTCCCATGCTCAAGAGAAACCATAAACTAGATTTTACTTTGACAGAATTACTGTGAGATCTTCTGGTATTTTCAAATTTCTGAGAGTAAATTAAAATAAAATACACACACACACACACACACACACACATAAAACCACAAAAGCCCTTTGTAGCCTAACACTATGTAAGCTGAACATCACCTTCCTGTGATCCATAGCCTGCTAATGCACAGCCTCTGATATAGATGATAAGTGCTATAAGATTTGAGGTGGGGCCAGGCATGGTGGCTCACACCTGTAATCTCAGCACATTGGGAGGCTGAGGCGGGCAGATCGCCTGAGGTCAGGAGTTCGAGACCAGCCTGGCCAACATGATTAAACCTCTTCTCTACTAAAAATACAAAAATTAGCTGGCCATGGTGGCGGGCGCCTGTAACTCCAGCTACTTTGGAGGCTGAGGCAGGAGAATGGCTTAAGCCCGGGAGGCAAAGGTTACAGTGAGCTGAGATTGTGCCACTGCACTCCAGCCTGGGCAACTGAGTGGGACTCTTGTCTCAAGAAAAAAACAAACAAACAAACAAAAAAAGATTCAGAGGTGGGAGAAAGTCTGTCCAGCTACTATGTCCACTAAAAACAAGACAAGCTTAAAAGGCAGATGAGCAGACTATAAAAAAAAATTTACAGAGAGAAATGGGGACAGTCTATCCCCAAACTGTTGTTAAGTTTTCTGGAATACTTAAAAGAAACTCTGGGAGATTCAATGGTTGTTTTTTGAATGCATGCAAGAAAGAAAAGCTCAGAAGCATCTAAACATCCAGAAGAAATATTTTTACCTCCTGGGAAGCCTGAATTGATTGAATTAGAAAGTAAATTCTCTTTTGTCTGAAGTCTAGACTTCTGGAGATACCGTTTTTTTTTTCCCCCGTTTTCCTTTTTCTTTGTTTAAATCAAGAATGCACTTTATCGGCAAAGCTTAATCACAGTTAAATAATATCCTAGTTGAGTCAACCAGACTCCACTCTAGAGCAATTTCTGGAAATAATAGGATAAGCCCATTTTATGAGATTACTGACTGGCAGCTAATGAAGTTCTCACACTTTTTATTTTAGAGGGTAGTTAAAGCAGGTTACCTGCAATAGTTACCTTTTATTGAGGGCTTGCTACGTGTGAGCACCTGCTAAGCATTTAGCAAATATTACACAGTCTTATAAATGTGTATTCCTCAATCTACCCAGTGAGGTCACATAGTTAGTTGTGGGGTTGGGATTCAAGCCCAGGTTTACCTGACTTCTAAGACTATCTCTTAACCAGCATACATATACCAATCTTTCCAGTCACTGCTTAGGGAAGAGATCTCATCTTCCTTCTAAATATACTCAGATTTGTAGAGTTAAGTGAATTTCTCAAGAATAGAAATCTAGTAAGTTGCAGACTTGTAATAAGACAGACAGTTCAGGCTTTTGACTTCCAGTCCTGAACATTTCCCCCTATGTGATTATCTTATTTATCTCTAAGTCAGGAGAATGTTAATTACTTTAAGACTAAGATGGAAATCCCCCATGAACGTGGAAACTCAAATAGCAGAATGGATGACACTCTGCAGGGTCTCGGCAACTCAGCAACACAGACTTCCCCTCACCAAGGCCATTACTACTGCTGAGCTGCAGAGTGCCAACCTGCCCATAACAGAAGTCAACGCTAAGCCTCCTGAAGTGGCCCTATTCCCCAGGGCGACCAAGTGGCAGGTTTGTTACATAGGATCTTTTTCATCAAAGAGGGAAAAGCAACTCTCTTAAAGGAATAGAGAAATATTCCAGATGTAGATTTGCCTTTTCCATCATTCTTCCATTTATAGTTATTTTATTCATGAATATGATATCCTACACAATCCTCTACTGATTATAGAACTAATTATATGGTGAAGGGATGTGGGCTTTCACCACAGAATTCAGAAGTCTCATGCATTTCATCACACAGAAACAGCTCACTCCATAGAACAAGAAATAGAACAGCCTGCTGAAGGCTCAGCCATGATGTCAGCTGGGAGACAATAAATAGCCATCAATATTTAGCACCATTTCTTTCACAGTTAGAATACATGGTTCCTGGAATCAAGGAATCTAGTTGGGAGTAGCCCCTTTTTACACCAAACAAGCCATTTACAAGATTTTTGCTTTTCAGGCCTCAAACATTGAGCTTAGTGACTTTGGAGGCCCAAATATTCAAGGCAGGACTGCTTCCACTTGGGAACCAAGTCATGATTTTATTAAACTAGAAGCCGAGACAGTCAGTCCTAAGACTATCCCTTGGCCAGTTTGGGTTCCTCATGGTTCTGAACCAACAGGTAAGGAAGGCAGTTGCTCTAGTGATTCAGGTAGTTAATCACAGTTATAAAAAGGAAGTTGGATTATTGCTTCATAATTGGAGTCAGGAGGACTATCCTGCTACTTGTCCTCTCAGGAGTCTCAGCTTCATAGTCAATGGAAAACTGTGATAACCCAATAAACAAGACTGCAAGGAATGAAGGGTTGAGTCACCCTTTCAGCAACCTACCAAGCAGGCCCTAGCAGAGTAGGAATGTGCAATGAGTAGAGGAATTAGTAAGATGTGGTCATCAACTGAGGCCTAATGACCAACTAGGGAAGCGAGAACTATAGCAACCGTCTTAGTACTTATTTACCCAACTTGTATCTATTTTCTATATGAACAGAATTATCTTATATAAACATTTTATCATTAAAGACAAAAAAATTAACCATTAACACATCATTGCAAATACTCCATTAAGCTTTCCTCAATTCCTGTGGGAGTGTGCCATATAATTCTTGTCGTGAGTGGATACAGTTCTAGATGAAGAATTATCACCAATATCTTTAAAATCAGTTAATTCTTCAGAAGCTCCAACTGAAGTATGCCATTTTGACTTTGTCATTGTTTCTATTGCATTGCAACCTGAGTACAAAATCGAGAGTAAATGGTTTGAGTTTGAAGGCTTCACTATAACTTTTTGAACCCAAGAGAGCATAATCTTTTAAGATTATGCAAAGGCTTGGGGTTTGTTATTTACTGTTGATAATAATGAATCAACATGCTATTAGTAATTATTAATATGCTGTTTCTAGACTTGTCATTTTATATAAGTTTGAAATTTAGTGGTAGCATTCTAAACAGTGAGTTTTGGGTTGCACATACCTTTGAAAATGTGATGAAAACTATGAAACTTCTTCGCAGAAATATGGGCATACACACAAACTGCAAAACATTCAAGTGTTATACAAGTTAAAACCTCAGTTTTAGAGGCTGCTCCACATTCACATGAATGTTTGTCTCCTTCGAGGTTGTGATTATTGATCATGAGAGACTAGCTATGTGAACTCCATAGTCTCAAGAAACTTCATTATCTTTTATTTGTATTTTCAAAGAGAGAGAGAGAGAGAGAGAGAGAGAGAGCAACAGAGAGAAACTACATTACCTTTAGACCAAAATGAAAACATATTTGGTGATCGAATTGAATGGGTAAATAAAAACAAGTTACATTTCTCTGGTAGTAGGCTGAGTTCAAGTTTTGAAATGTCTGAGTTCCAAAGCAGAAGAAAGTAATTATTAAAAACTCATGGCAGGACTAGTATTATAGCCAAGTAATGCACTAATTATAAGAGATTTGAAAGACCTAAAATTTCCAAGGGAAATCAAGTATGGAAATAAGATTGGAAACTGGGAACTCTTCATTTTGTATGAAAATTCCAAATATCTCACAAGTGGCAACGGCTGCAACATAAAAATGCCTAAATTGGTCAGATTACTTTTCTTTCTACTCTAGTATTGTCTCTACTATTAGCTATAATTTTGCCTACGGTTCTTTCATTTGTTTATTAAATAACATTATTTGGATACGTTTCTAAGCTACTAGTTTAAATACCAATGTAAGTTAAAATGAATTTGGTGCTTCTGTGGGCTATGATGCCAATAGTGTAGCTGTTTTTATTTGTTTGTTTTTTAGACGGAGTCTCGCTCTATTGACCAGGCTGGAGTGCAGTGGCACGATCTCGGCTCACTGCAATCTCCACCTCCCGGGTTCAAGCGATTCTTCTGCCTCAGTCTCCCAAGTAGCTGGGACTACGGGTGTGTGCCACCATGCCTGGGTAATTTTTGTATTTTCAGTAGGACGGGGTTTCACCATATTGGCCAGGCTGTTCTCGAACTCCTGACCTCGTGATCCGTCCGTCATGGCCTCCCAAAGTGCTGGGATTACAGGCATGAGCCACTGCACCCAGCAATAGTGTAGTTTTAGAGATAACTTTAGACTACGATCTGGAAGTATCATGCTGGAGATTCCAAAAAGTATATTTTTTGCCTTGTATTTCTTTTAAAGAAACCCCACATAAATGGGCTATTCCATATTCTAACAGGAGGCTATATATATATATATAGTGATTTGAAAGTAAATTAAATGTGACATAAACCATTTTAAACTTGATTAGGGTGGTGGCTACATGATTGTATGTGTCTGTCAATACTCATAGAATTGTACACCAAAAAGTGAATTTTCCTGTAGGTATTCTATGGAAAAACACTGGCAGCATATCTTCTTAAGTGCGTTAAATTTTAATAAGCAAGTTGAATGTAAGAAAGGAACTTGAGTGCCAAATATCTGTGAAGTGACATAAAACAAACACACTATGCACATCCAAAAATCTGGATTTACAATGGAAATGTGACAGCTTCTGAAATTATATAGCACTCAATCATTAATTTTCTTTGAGGGTAAGATTTGTACCCTGCTGGGCTTATAATTTTCTCTTTTTGTGCTGTTCATGTGTAAATATTGCCAATTTCATTTGACACAAAAAAGGAAAACAACTTAATTTTGTTTCTAAGTTAATGAATGACAGATACTACCCTCCAGATGAGGTACTGTATTATTAGCTTCCAGGCAGTGATTTGAGGGGAAAAAAACCCAAGCCATTTCCAATGTATTTGTAACAAGGAAACAAATTTATTGATTTTAAAAGACAAGACACCATTTTGTTTTGAAAAACACAAGAAAGCTAGCCTGAGTTCAAGTCTGAAATATTCAGAAAAATCCTACTAATATCTTTAGTATGTTCCAGTCATTTGTTTAAACAACACACTAAAAGTTAATATATATTTTTATAATTATAAAAGTTCCCCAGTTATTGTACAGTACACAATACAAATCGCCCACAAACTATTATTTAGCTCCTGCCAATTTTGAGAGGACATGATATACTAAAAGATTTAGCATTTCTCACAAAAATCACATCAGGAAATACGTATTTACAAAATCAAATACATTATACAAAAAACCATCACATGTTATTCGGTAAAGATGTTTTTAAATAATTAAAAAGTTTATTCAACTGTAGTCCAAAAACTGGAAAAGAACATTACATTATCTCACACATACAATCTCTACAAAAGTTGCTTACCTCATTTACATAATATATTCAGTCGATTGTAAAATAAATGTTCAAATATCTCCTAGTGTTACTATGTTTCTGTGCTTGTGGGACTGAATAATGTAATCGGCCACTTACTAAGTGAAATTTAAATGATGGCACTTAAAAAAAATACAGTTATCTTAAAAAAACACAATGAAAGAAGTTTTACCTAGAAGGTACGAAAGCCCTGAGTGATAGTGAAGTTACTGATTGGTAAGCACTACAATTAACCTAATTAAAAGTTTACCACCTCAGGCACAAATTTCCAAGTTTTTTCAAGGCACTCACTTAAAGTTTCTGTAACCAATGCATTGGTCACCACCATAGGTCCAAATTGATGATGGAAATGAGTAGAGAAAAAAATTTGCTTTGGTACAAAAGATGCTTTTTAAACGAATAAAATTGAATAGCTTCTTTATTGAGTCATTTAAAATTGTTGTTTAGCAGGTTAAAACAAGGCGATCATTTCTTCAAAAACACTAATTTATTGAAGGAAAAATTTACTTGGTTATCAACAGTCAATGGGAGTTTTTATATTTTCTTTCCTCCCCAGAATCAAAATTCTTCTAAAAAAGATTTGTTGTCCTCATTATTGAGCTACATAAACAATTCTTACCAAAGATTTTCATTACTCAGGGCTTCCAATCCCAACATCATAATTCATTTAAAGAAACAAAGGAAAGAGGGGAGAAAAATAAAATAGAACAAAATAAAAGAAGAGACAAAACATATTTTTCTTTTTAAAAAAAGTATTATCAATTATTTCAAATGAAAGGAAAAAAAAAATCCTAGGCAGTCACTTTGTAAGTGGCTTTTACTATTTAAGTAAAATTGGTAAACTAAACTCAGGTCTACTGGCACATAAAATCACTAGCAGCAATGATCAAGGCATGCAAACTGAGAAGCATTTACAGTAAATCATCATGAAGAATTCAAAAGAAGAGAGTTAAATTAAAACCCTTTGAGTATTGCATGTTAACACATGAGTAATTTGCATGGTTTGACTTCCTAAACTGCCTAAAAAGCAACGTTTACGGCATACTTGCACTATGCTATGGATGTCCTTTCACCAGACATCAGAATAGGTTACACTCTTATTTGCGCCCGGCTAGGGCAGCGCAAGCACATCTGCAGACAACACTGCTTTCATGTTCGATCACGCAGGGAACAGAGGGAATCAAGTGCATGAAGCGATTCCCTTGAACAAAATCAGCAATGGTGTAAGCAGACTGACATTTAGAGATATCAGAAGCAGTAGTCATAGCATCTCCTGACAGATGAGCTTAAAATCAAGTGCTTTGCTCTCCATTCTATCTATATATAATTTTTTGACAAAGTATTAAAGTTTTGGAGCATAGATAAAATTATGCCCTGTGTGAAATTCCCAAACAATATTTTATGAGCGATCTAACTCCAAATAGCCTAACTGCCCCCAAAGAGTTCAGATTCTCTTAATCCACTCGAACTCGTTTCTTCCTAAGGCTTCACTTACACTTGTACTTTCTAAAGCTAAATAAATGAGATCTTTTGTTTCATTTTGGGAAAAAAAGAAAAAAAAAAAGAAACTTAACCCTTTCCTTATACCTTTTAAAGGCAATCTAGGTACCTTCAATGTGCAGAAATCAGTTATGACATAGGTCTATCCAGGCCCATGTATTTGTCCTCCTTTTCTAGAAACTATGGTGTGATGCTAGAAAAGTTGATTTTTTTTTTTTCTGTAAACAGTACACTTACTTAGATGGCAGTGAATATTTGGGAATAAATATATCAAGCCCTCTTGAAGAAAAATTAAGAGTTGTATATAAAATGCAAGTGTTCGGCGTGGAAACACTTTCTCTTCCTACCCCCCCTTTAAAAAAACAGCATAATTAGACATTTGGATATAGAGTATACTTTACCGGTCTAAGTCTAAATAAATGATCTGAAAGGCTTTTGTCCCCCATTGTATATCTTACAATGCTCAAAGGGTTAATACAAGGCATTACATCAAAGGGGTTTTCTAATACTAGAACTAAGCACTGAATTAATGCTTCTATTCCAGTTTTTAAAAATCACCAAACTTGCAGAAATATTAGGATTCCATTAATTGATTTGTTCTAACCATATACATGGAGGTTGTTCTGATCTAGCAACAAGCCCAATTTTCAATAGCACTGCATGCCAATCCTCCTCCCCCATGATCTGGTGTGATTCATACAGATCACAAAAGTTCTGATCTCAATTTGTGGATGGTTGTTATTTTCTCACCAAGAATGTGTGTGTCAGGGGGATCTAATAAAGGTCAATTTATTGTATATAACCACTGCCTCAAACTGTACACAAAAGTGACTTGCCAAGTTTTTACTTTCTACTTGTGTCCACACAGGGAGGACCAACATCACAGTGACACACATTTTTTTTTTTCTTTTACACTAATGTTTCAAGCACAGCATTATTTTAGACATTTCAAATATATCATCTGAGGAATTTTTAAAAATTTGAAAATGCATTTAGCACTTTTAGACAGTGCATTCATATAAAAAGATTCATGATTACGGCACTAAAACCGTATTCATTCCTGAATGACTTTTACAGCATCTACAAGAACGTATTCATTTTTACTTGTTTACTACAAATCAAAGGCAGTCAATGCTGCACACTACTAATTTTAGGTATGCAGTGTTAAAACCATTTTCTAAATTTTACTTTGTTTTAAAGTACACCATCTAAAGAGAGGTGCATAAACCGTGCTATACAGTACGAGAAAAATCACACAAACGAAAGCAGATTTCTGAAAAGGCAGTAAGACTTATACAGTCAGTCCAAACACAGTTTGGATGAAAATCCTGAATAAGTGACTAGCAACTTGATAGCCAAAGAAAAAATTGAAAATTGGGCCCTGTCTTCCAAGGAGCTGGTTCATCCATTCCACCCTATTGTTCATTGGTTTCATGAATGCAACTCTTCTGAGTATGATTTTCAAAGTATATGTCAAGATCAAACTATATCCATGATACTCAATCCTATCATATGAAAATATCTTTTCTGAAACTTAAAAACAGTCAACATACCTTCCTTACATGCTTCCTCACTGAAAGTGTAGCACTTGGTTTATGTAGGTATATTTCATGACTAGTGATTGGTTATAATTGCAAGAAATACAAAGAAGTCTTAAAATGTGTACTTGTGTCATTTGTGAATAAATCTGTTAAGAGTGTTAGTGTCTAATATTATTTAGAAAACCCAGTTTCAATGAATGAAAAAAGGGAAAAATGGAAATAGATGCAATAAATGTGATTGCTCAATTTGCTCAAATGTATAAATTATGTTTTTATTTTCTCAAATATTTCACAACTCAAATTTGAAATTGATGAAAATGTTTGTGTGTATGTGTGTGCATGTTTTACTGCGAACTACAAATAACCAGAAGTAGCATAAACCATAGGTCTTCTTTTTATGTTTTGATCCAAACTACTTACATTAGTCACAAAGAATATTCCTAAATATTCATAAAGGAGATCAGAATATTTTTATTGAGTCTAGTTCAAATGTATTCATGTTTATTAGTTCTTAATCTGTCCTAATTTAGAACAAACCATGAACAATTGGAAGAAATGTTGAATCCTGGAGCATCCCCGATCCCTAAGCCTCATCAATCTAAATTTGCCCATTATTATCAGATTCCTGTAATGATACAAATATATCCAACATTAAATTAAAGGAAACAATGATAATAAATACATTTAAAGTCATCCAATAAACAAAATGCAACCAATAAATACATTTGGTCCAATACAGATATGGTATCATTCAAAGGATGGTGGGTAGAGACAGGAAACTGAAAAAATTCAGAAAGAAGAGCCAAAATGAAGAGTTTTTTTTTAATTTTTGATTTTAATTTTACCTGTAAACACTTCCTATGCACAATGAAGTAGATACATGATCTTTTGCAGCTTACCATGTTTTGTTTGCCTTTTGTGTGTGTGTTTTGGTACAAATCCATTGTCTTTTTCGGAGGAAAAAGGGGGACAGTAATTTAAATGATATTTAGATGAAGGTGATGCTACCATGCTAGTGAAGACTTTCAAATATATGAGTTGTAAAATAAAAAATTTGGATCAGTTTTTAAAATTATATCTAAAATATTTAAATTTTACTTAAGAAATGTCGTTGATGTTATTTGAGTAGTCTGAGGCAATCAAGCAACAGCAGCTTAAATACACTGTGTATTACCTGATAAGCCATTTGGTATTTCTAACTTTACAGACTGGCTCACCTCTTCTTTCCAACCCCCCACCCCCCTTACCCCAATACCACTGGAAAGATAAACATCTTGGTTTTAATATAGGCCTCATTTGATAATCTGTCAATCATTTTGTGCTTTCCTTTTTTTTGGCTTTATTATCTATTTATTTTTGCTGATTAGTTTTTTACAACTATTTAAATGAACAGATGTGCCTTTTTTGTGTTTTAATCATTAAATAATTTGAGTGCTTAAAAGAACCTTGGCTTTTCATGCAAATTAAAATGGGGCTGGGTATAACTCTCTAGGATCTCACCTTCTGACTTTGTAGCAGACTCCTGCCCCATGGGCACTCATGTGTGCATGTGGACACACCAGCACCTAGACACACAGACAAACATTTAGACTGAAAAGATGCACTTCGATAAGTACCTGCTTACTTTGTTAACTTTCTAAAATTGTAACTAAATAAGAATGGTCTAAAACATATATGATTTTATGTAACAAGTTGGTATTAAAACTAGCCTGCTATTCCACACCCTTAAGCAATCTGATTTGTAATCAAGTAATATTCAGCTCTAAGAATAAAAAATAGATCCACGGTCACTCAAAGAGGGAAACTGATTTTTGTCTTTTTGTTTTGCTTTGTTTTCCCTAAATTTCCTTTGAAGAACATGTCACCTGTCCTTACTTCGGGAATCTGAAAATGACAGGCACACTTTGTCAAATGGATTGAAGAGTTAGTCACATGAACAAAATAAACCTTACTAAACCTTAGCTTCAGTTCTGTTTTAAGGCACCATGTAATAGCCGAGGTACGATGATCCCTGATGTACATTCTTCAATGGCAATGGTCCATCCAGCCACCTATCCAAATCCTACAGAATTGGGGATAAGTAACAGTGAGGTGTGCCAGTTACACTGCCTTCAGGTTCTGTTTACAATTTAAATCCACATACTTTAGAAACCAGGAAATAGTTTTGAAGGAAATAACATTATGTAGGTTGCTACATTCCGTGCATTCTATAAATTCTCGTTTATAATAGCAGCATATTGAACTACTATTAGGAAAAAGACCTGGAATAAAAGAAAGTCATCCAAATGGAATGGTTTCCTGTATGTCCAGCTCAGCATAAGTAGCATGTACACTTAAAAAAAAAAGTCAAGTCATTTTTTCCTGCTTCAGTATCTAACTATAACAGCCCCCACTTAACAGCAGAATGCATCTGTGCAGTGGTCCCAAATACAGAATCAGTAGTCTTTAAACAGAGGAATTGGTATGCAAATAATAGTTAAAATTCAATGTTTAACGGAAGCTTGCATTGTTAACATGGTTTAATAATTATGTACACAAACTATGTACCTATTAGCATAATCTCTTGCAATTCTGTCATTTACTCTGAACTGATAAATGCACAGCTCAATTTTTCCTCAGAGAAAAATAGATGACCTTCCAAACCCTCTAGCACTATAATAAAAATGCTCTGTATTCTCTCTCCGTACTCAAAATGTTATCAAAATAGTGTCTTATGGTTCTGTCCAATGAAAAGCACCTTTCAAAAGCAAATTTGATGCATCTGCTGCCAAATGGGCATGCCTCCAGTGTCAATCAAAACAATCATTTCTTTTGATATTTCACAGAAGTGCATCTAATTTAAAAACTTACACATGAAATCATACACCAAGACTAACAATCAACAAGAAAATATTTTAAGCTACAAAAAAATGTAAATTACTTTTTAATTATAAGAAAACAAAACATTGACATTAAGTGTTGTAAAAATCCTTCTTGACACCTGAAACTAAGGGAAAAAATTCATTATTAAGAGGCAAATAATTTGTTTACGTTAAAAAAAAAAAATCTGGCAAAATACATACACCCATTCCATTTCACAACTCCAAAAAGTTAATGTTCAGCACAGATAGAATTTGACAACAGTCGACCTTCAGGCTTATTAAATTTTCAACTTAAGCCCAATATCAACAGGGTTAATGTAAGCTGGAGAAATACGCTTTAATATTCTTTAGACTGCAGTGTAGGTATTTCCTGTAGCGCTGCACTGTCTGATAGTCTGAGTACTTGTGACAATGTGCTCGCTGTGAATTGGATTCAGGAGGCTTGGTTGCACGCCAGTCTCGAGAACAGGCTGCATGCAGCCCACTGGAAATGCCTGGCTCAGCTCTGTTTTCTCTCTTTTGGCTTGAGGCTCTGAAGAGTCATCCAGTTCTTCATCCATTTCACTTTCCACTTCACTGCCTTCATCTGCACAAATAAAACCAAGACTATTATCAGAAAACAAATTAGAAAATAGCAATCAACACGTGCTTTAGAAACACTTTAATATAGTACATTAAGAAAGCAACATCTTAGCTCTTCTCAGGAAACAAAGCTTATAGGTTTTCTTTTCATCGGAATGTATTCATATCAATGCTGTATTGATGCATCTACAATTCTTTCAAACATAGCGAGATTAATTTACTTTTGGCAATCTGTGATTGATACTTCATTAACTTTTTTAAAAAAGCCTTTGGAATTTCCATAAGTGTCTATATTAAATAATGGCATAATTTGTGTCATAATAAAGTAGTCACTTTGGTATGTTATGCTGACTTTTGAGGAATGTACTGAGCTGAAAACGCAAATACAAAAAAAGTTTTGTTTCCTCCAAAAATCTACACTAAATACACATTTTATCTGTGCTAGCGTTAATGTGAGTCAGAACTATGTTGATTCTTAATATTACTATTCCATGTATAAACAGAGGCTGCTGTAAGACTTTTTGGCATTCATCAATGTTATAGATGGTCACAGTATTAAATAAACCCTTAATTTTTATTATAAAAATTATTAAGGCTGAGGCAGTAGTATCAGATTAAAAATGTGCAATGGATTTCCATTCTTGGCAGCTGATACTGTTAATAGCTGCTATTCATTTCTGGAAATCAAATGCATTATATAATCACGGTTACCCCCAAATTGTAATACATTTTATATTAACTAAGGCATCATTATAATAGAATGCCATTTAATTTTTTTCCAGTATGCACTGTTAAAATTCAAAAGTACATTAGAGACAGAAAATGCACATATACAGCTTTACTATTGGGTGACAGTCTCCTCCGAATACCTCTTCATGAGGGATAATTACAGTGGCTTGTATAAACAAAGTCAGGTCTCCATTCTCTACTGTTCTATGGCATATCACATACAATGAATGTGCAACAAGTATCTCTTTAGTCAGATTAAGTTGGATTCTTTGCTAGCAGTAAAATTGTAGCTTTACCACTTGGCAGACACCCACAGCAAAAATCTCTGCTAATGCAGCTGTCTCTATAAACAAGGCCCCTTGACTTTTCTTATTTCATTATGATTGGGGTAAAGCTGGTTCTAGAAAAAAGCAGTGAGAGGTAAAAGTGCTTCCATATATGGTTGTACAGTGTACAGCCACCAGGAGCAAGGTCTGAGAAATGGTAATTTGTGATTAAATAGGTGGAGATTAACATGCATTACCTAGAAATGTGTGTCATGCATTAGTGACCAATAAAACAAAGAAGTGCTCTTAGATGAGGCAAAAGATATCTTGGCCCACCTACTTTATCAAGTTACCTTTTTGCCTCTGGAAAATGAACTTAATGATAATATTTGAGTGTGTCAGAACAAGTATATTCAAAGTGTTGAAGGGCTACAGGGAGAGGGATACCTTTTGTAGACATTTGCTTCATCAAGAGGGTATACTTGAAACATGTTTGCATGAAATGTTTCGGTTTTTCATGTTTTTATACATAAAACAAAAATGTCTGTAAGGATCTTAACACAAACTCTTCATGGTGGTAGTCTCTTAGGGTTGTGATAATAAAGCTTCACTTTCTATAGTTTCTAATTCTCTGTATTATTTGAAATTTTTATATGGAGCAAATATCCCTTTTATTATCAGAACAAGAATTCTCATTTTGTGGGAGAAGCCCTCAAAAACTCCTAGGATTTCACATTAAATCTTTAGGCCCTGAGTATGCCCATCGGGCTCTATCTCAAGAGCCATCAAGAGGTCTGGGGGTAAATGGGACCAGCGTGGCCACCTCCAGCAGGTGAGGACAAGTCACACTGCTTCTCTGCTCCCTGTCCACAGACTTCCCCGTGCCTAAGAAATTAGTGTCAAAATAATAAAAAAGGGAGCACTGAAAAGACAAAAACTCATTTTCAGGCAGGGAGGGCAGTGGAGACAAAGTGAGGAAAGTCCTTCTATCTATTTTGTTGTGGATGGAAAGGGTAGTGAGATAACAGACTGGACAAACTTAAGTGTTCCAGGTAGGTTTTGCTTACGTCTATCTCTGGGTGACAGGTTTCCTTTGGAAAATCTACAAAGCAACTTATAAAAGCAAGCCCGTTCTCCAGGTCCTAAGGACAAAGGGATGTAATTCTGTAGACATTTTATGCTTCTATAAAAACTTGAAGACATTTCCTAGGAATCTACGTCAGGTTATGGAAATCTGGTGCATAAAAACTAAAATTAGGTGCTACAGGAGTTTACAGAAGATTGTCGTTCAGCACTGTGTGAAGAAGCCTGGCTGGAATGCAGTCTCTGACTGAGTAGTAAATCTCTACTGCCCTTCTGGACACCCTGGGATAAAACCCCTAAATTTGGGTTATGAGGCTTTGGTGTACATCATCAGTGTTGCTTTATAATGGACATGGGTATCAGTTACCACATTTCTTGCTCTAAAATTACTAATTAATATCATCATTGACTTATTTTTCTGAGGGTTATTTGGTTAATCCTATAGAGTATATATTTGTAGTAACAAATTTTTTGGCTATAATTTTCTAATTTCCCTGCATTGCTACTGTACTGAGTACCTTAATATAGCACGCTCTGGAGAACAGCGCTGAACCTCTTTACAGACTCCCCACGTACTTCCTTTCACCTCATTTTCCCCAGTGACTCTGGCCTGGAAGGGCTAAGTGCATAGTTCTCCCCAGTTTCTGTGCATTTTGTACCTGTCTCCAATAGTCAATAACCATAAAAATTCTTTAAAACCTCAAGATACCTCCCTCCCTCCACCACCTTTTAAAAGAAAGAGCTCTGTTTCCTGCAGTGTTTAACAGAAAATTTACTTGTTTTTAAAAATTGCACTGGTATTTTTATCAGTATTGTTTTGCTTGTGCTCTGCTTATAAAGGTGGGTAAGATTTGTGTGCTCTATCCCCATTCTATCTCCCCCTAAGTCCACCTTGCTTTTTTTATTGTGTGATTTTGTTGATCCTGAGGTTCTTCAGAAATATATATCATGTTATCATATTATATTGTATATTAGAGTGGCAATGCTATTAAAATTTCAGAAGTATATATGTTACCTTCTTCATCTATACCATTACTAATCTTGCATTTACAGTAAACCTCACTGCTATCTCTGAGTTCTTTTTCTACACAAAAGTATGAATTGGTGAGGTAGGTAAGCCGAGGAATCTTTTTTCTTGCCTGGTGGGCCTTGAATAAAAATGTCTCATCCAATTTTATCACTTATCTCCAGGACTCTAGCCATGGTCAGAAATAATTTCTTGTTACTTGTAATGAACTTCAGGCAAAATGTGTAAAGAACTTTATAACTACATTTAAATTCAATTATCTGCAATTAAAATACCTCATATGTAGAAGGCATAGCGATGGGGAAAAATGGAGAAATAATGAAGACAGGAGTTTCACATTTATCTAGGATTTGTATGCCACTTCTGCAAAATCAGAGTATTGTAAACATACACTGTATTTTCCTCTATGAGAATTTGTTAGTGAAAAAAAGTTCTTAAAATGTACATTATTTTCAATTCTTACCTTTATCCAGATTTCCAGGAGACACGGCATTTAAATCACCAAACTGCAAAACAACAGTCATTTGTGCAATAGTTAATATGGGGCAGAATAATATCAGTCTGTGGTAAAAACACCAATCTATGACTCTTTAAAACTGCAAACTAGTGGCCATTTTGATCTCTAATTACATGGGTCACATAATTTTCCAATCAAACTTGTCAAATTTGAACAGTTCAAATTATGTCACAATTTAGCTGTCTTAGCCGCTTTGCAGAAGGATAACAATTTTCTCTGCTTTCCATGCTCCATTTTACCTTTTATTATTTCAACTCAGCAATGAAGAAACAGGGGCCTGGATGACTTGGATGAAGACTGATGTGGCAAAATGAATTTGGAAAAGCCCCAATCAAGCAAGACACATCAGCTCCACCCCCCATGCTTGGCTGATGAGTCCACCTGGAAGTCTCTACATTAGAGAAACAATATCCAGCAGTTTGGCTGAACTCTATTTTTAAAGTTTTTATTAATAAACATAAAAATATAATAGAAACTCCAAAATTGAGGGCTATTTGTTTTTATAAAATCTTTAATTTGAGACTTCTCTCTTAGATAATAGGGTCTCACTTTGAAAAGAAAGGCATTTGATCATTACTAATGTCAACAAAAAAGAGCTTGAAACAATATAGAACAATTAATAGCCTTCGGCTTAGCTATTATTTTCTAACTTAGTTCAACAGTTTGATAATTTTACAATGAGAAAACACATTTTGAGAATCTCAGAGTGAATAAAGATGGATACACTGAAATAAAAATTGAATAGAGTAACAAAGCTAATCAAAAAAAGGTTAAGAGAAACTGCAAAACATCTACTTTTAAAACAGTAAACATTACTTTTTTAAGGTAATAAGTCATTATTAGAAATCCAGATTTCTCAACAGGCTTAGAAAGGATGAGGCAGAAATTCTACTTACATTCGGAAGTTTGATTATAAAGAGTTCCATGATAGGAGTATTTTTTTCATCTACAAGGTTTGTCTATAAAGTAATAAAACTGATCTTATTTTGCAAACATACACATATTTTTTTCCCTACCTAGACAAGTACTGTTCTTCACAGTAGCTACCTTGGGAGTTTATACATTTATTCCAAGGTCCAAAGTTCTGGAATTCCTCTTCGACAATTTTAAGAGTTAGTTTATGCATCATTAGGAAAGCCCATCTTGTTATTTTACATCCAACTATGCCTCCAAGCAACACTCCAGATTTTATTTACTATACTTGTTCCTGGGATGATTTGACTACTCAACAAAATTCAATTCACCTCTGCCACAATTCAGGTTATTTAAAATAATGTCATTTTACCTTTACTTCTTAGCATTTCAGAGGCATTCCACAACATTTTTAAGCCATAGCAGCATTACTGGAACAAATGTGTAGCCTTCCTAGGTGACTGCTTTGAAGGAGACAGGGGCCTCCTAGACATGTAATTATTAGTATATTTATTTGAAAGTCTGCCCCACTGCTTTAGAGTTATTTTTTAGAGTTATTAAAAGTAATGGCAAAAACCGCTATTACTTTTATACCAACCTAATACATCCCACGGGGCAACAAATATAAATCATAAATACTGAAATTTTGAAGTTGTTCCTGATCACATAGGTCAGGTCTTTGTATAAGTCTAAATAAAAATCCAGTGTAAATTATGTGGGTTTTCTTGAATTAAAGAATATAATCTAAACAACAAAAACCCAAAGGGATTCTTCATCAATTTTTGGTATTATTTAAGTATTTTAGAACTATAAACAGAGAATGTTCAAAACCGAAGGATCATTTACAAGTTATTACTAACTGACATAACACAAAAAGATATAGATTTAAGGGAACACTTAACACTTAAGTTCTTGAAACGAGTTGGCAGTGATGATTCTAAACACAACTTTATACTGATAAAAAGTGAGGATTCTATTTGCTGTTGAAAAGTCTCTGAAAGTTGTTTGTAGCTAAGTTATTGTTGCTATTGCTGATCAATAATATCACACAGAGTGTCTAAAACCAAACTCTGGATATATTTGAAAATCCTCTTCAAAAGAAACATTGCATTTAGTTGCTACTTAACTCTGAAAACATGACAACTTCCTTAATACAAAGATTTTCCCCTTAGACGTTTCTACTTAATATGAATAAGACATTTGATAATTCAAGAGGCTGAAAACAGAAACCAAAACAGCTGAAATTTCAGTGATAGTTATTATCATTAACAAAAATCCATTTACATACTAAATTCCGAGGCTTGTCATTATGCACTATGTTGGACAATGTACAAAGAATCTCAGAGACACTGTCAATGCCTCTAGGTGTTTCTGGGATCAATGACAAAGTTTTACATGTATGACAAACAGAGAAAGTAGATTACGATTTTTTTAAATCCTCTGAAGAAGAGATCAGATTTTACTATCCTATAGAGCTGAAGGTGAAGGCTTTTATATGCATTTTACATGTGAGGGGAAAATAGATGTAAAATTATAGAGGAAAAAACACTTTAACCCTGTAGATAGACTGCATGAGATCAGCAAAATCAGTTCACTTATTCATTAAAAGTCGATAAATACTTATTGAGGATTTACTATGTGCCAGGCACTATGCCAGCCAATTCTAGTCAGATCAATTTGGAAATACTCCTGTCTTCAGGAGGTAAGTAGTAGAAATTCCCTATATTCTGAAGGGTAGGTAGGTTAGCAGAAAAATGAGCAGCTTAGGAAACCTTAGGGAAGGTTTTAGAAGTATAGGGTTCAAGTCTTAGAAATGGAAACAAATTTCATGGGTTTATGGCATGCAGCAGGTCAAGCAGCAGGAAGGAAGGGTATGAACAGTGGCAGGGAAGATTGAGAGCAGGCAGAAGGAAAACAGTACCATAGATAGGGGCCAGATGACAAGATGAGGCCAGTACAAATCAAAAACAGAAGAGAGGCCAGGCATGGTGGCTCACACCTGTAATCCCAGCACTTTGGGAGGCTGAGGCAGGTGGATCACCTAAGGTTGAGAGTTCGAGATCAGCCTGACCAACATGGTGAAACCCTATCTCCACTAAAAATACAAAAATTAGCTGGGCATGGTGGTGGAGGCAGGAGAATCGCCTGAACCTGGGAGGCAAAGGTTGCAGTGAGCTGCGATCATGCCACTGCACTCCAGCCTGGCAACAGGAGCGAAAGTCTGTCTCAAAAACAAGCAAGCAAGCAAGCAAGCAAGCAAACAAACAAACAAAAAACAGAAGAGGAGAAAGTAGTAAAAGATTTAGATTTAAAAAAAAAAAAAAGGAGCTCACAAGAAAGTATAGTGATTATTACGAAGTTACAGCATCACAAATTGGGAAAACTTACTGTTTCGTAATTTTTCCTCTTGCACAAAGGATTAGAGGGGACTACTCTTCACTGACGTGACATCTTACCACTTACAAGGTGTGCCTGCAGTTCAGTAAACAGTAGGTTTTCTCTCAAACAGACTGCGAGTGTCACACTGTCAATATCGCTTCCCTGAAGAGGCTTTTCCTGGCAGCCCTATCTTGAGTATCGCTGTCCCTGTCACTCTCAGTCACCGCATCATGCTCACTTCCCGCAAAGCACCCACCACAACCTGCAAAACTTATTTTGTTTGTTTCCTCACCTAATATATGTCTTCCCAACGAAAATGTCACTGCCATAGGTAAGAAAGTTCCTTTGTTCTCTTCATAAATGTATCCCAGAACCTGGTATAGTGCCTGATACATATTAAAGGCTGAATAAATACTTACCAGATGAATAAATTTAATTCCTCATTTCAGCCTCACCAAAACAACTTAGGGATCTGGCAAGTTAAGTGCTTAGATTTCATGTTACAGCTATTGAAAACAATGAGTTGATTTGTCTAACGTCAAGTAGTAAATATGGTGCTGTTAGATTTGAGACCAGATATTCTCCTTGGTTTAGAATCAGAGAGAGAGAGAAAAAAAAGAGAGAAATGGGATGGGATGTGGGGTGAGAGAGAGAGGGGAGGGAGGGGAAGGGGAAAGAGAGAGAGAGAGACACCCACACATGGAGGAAGAAATATAAATTAAGGGATTTTAAAAGTGCTCTGGAGTTAGAAAGCATATGGCCTTCAATGTATGAATTCACATTCCATCAGTCAGAGAGATAAATAGGAAACGTTCGAAGAGAAACTAGAACAGACGGTACAGAAAGCATGTCTATTGTTGAGAGGAAACACTTCCTATCCTATAGACTATTTCCTCCAGGTCCTGACTAGGGTCAAAATAATGAACACTTCACTGGACAACAGCGGGCTGGGAAATGCATGCTCGAGGTAGACAGTGAGAGTCTGTTAGCACATATATTCATGTAAGACCAGCAATGTCCATGAAGTGTAAGTGGGCAACAGTTTAGCACAGTCAGGGCAACAATGGGCAGGATCCCTGAGAGACCCTGGGTTGTAGCCAGGCAGCTGGGTTGTTTATTACAGGATTTTGAGGCCTAGTACTTGTCCCTGAGCATGGTCACCATGAGAGGAACCTGGCTCAGCATGGGAGAATGCAGCCCACAGGTGCATTGAAGAGACTGTTGCACATTCAGTTCAGCAACAGCTGACTTTTCATAGTGAGGCAGGCAAGCCTTGTTCTGTAATGTTTGGGCACTGAAACAATGCAGAGGAAGTCAGGGTGCCTAGAGAGCAAACAGGTGGGGATCCATGCGGGGGGCAAGAAACATACTGGAACAGAAGTAGGGCAGAAGGAAAGAGCTCAGGGGATTGGGATGAAGACCTCACCCTTAGGGACACCTTCCCTGCTGGAAGAGCTTACCCCACCCTGAGAAAGAATTAGTGAGTAATCATAATCACATTTATGTTATACGTATCATTAATTCTTTGTAAGCACAGCCATCGCTTGCTAATTGTTTAAGCAAATCTGTAACAAGTTCCCCAATAGTGTTAATTTGGATCTTTCCAAAGAACCAAGTTAAAGTACTTCACATAGTGCCTGGCACATAGGAAGCACTTAACAAATGACCACCATTATCAATATTGTTATTATTTATAAGTATCATCATTATCTCCCACGAACTGCAGACCAGACATGCAGAATCAGTCTGACTCTACTATCCCAGTACTCTGAAAGGATATCAAAAGCTGTATAGAAAAATTGCATCTTACAGAAAATCTCCCTGTTAGTATATCGATTACAGATTTATGGGTAAGCACATTTTCATCCTTCCTCCCTCTCTGTCTCTTTCTCTATTTATAAGTCCAAGTCTAATGTCACTATGTTAACTATCACCCACAAAACAAAATAAAACAAAACTGATAGCAGCAAAGTACAAAAGTGTATTGTCAAGAAGAGGGGCTGGTAAAGTTTTTCAGTAAGGGACCAGATGGTAAATATTTTAGGCTTTATAGTCCATTAAGACTCTGTCACAGTTACTCAACTCTACCATTGTAGTGCAAAAATAGCCATAGATAACTGGTACATGAATGTGTGTGATGTAGCTCTAATAAAACTTTACAAAAACAGGGCTGGGCACAGTGGCTTATGCTCGTAATCCCAGCACTTTGGGAGGCACAGGTGTGCGGACTGCTTAAGCCCAGGAGTTTGAGACCCCTGGGCAACATGGCAAAACCCCATCTCTACAAAAAATACAAAAAAGTTAGCTGGGCGTGGTGGCACGTACCTCTAGTCCCAGCTAGTTGGGAGGCTAAGGTAGGAGGATCACCCTCCAAGGTGGTCGAGGCTGCAGTGAGCTGTGATCGTGCCACTGCACTCCAGCCTGGGTGACAGAGTGAGACTCAGTCTCCAAAAACAAACAAACAAACCAACCCAAAAGCACCCTACCCCAAGACCAACCACTTCATTTACAAAAACAGATGATGAGCTGGATTTGGCCTGTGGACCACTGTTTGCTGACACCTGACTAGAGGAAGAGCTTGTAAGACCCTAGAAGACCTGCTCCAGCTCATTAACAGTGAAGGGAACAGAAGATTTTTATCTTTGAGAAAGATATATAAGGACATGGG